CACGCTCGTTGGCTCCCGCGAAGGATAATTCATCACGTTACAACGGAAAATTTATAATATCGCAACAATGGGTCCCTCGATTGTGTTCCCGTTCCAAGGTGAACGATTAACGCGCCTCTGTGGATAACTCGCGCATTTATCGCTCTTTAAGGTGTTAAATAATAAACTGTTTCAGAAAAGAAACTACATATATTTGGATATGAGATGATGATATTTATGCATCCACTTGACTAAGCGACAAATGAAAAATGTTGAGAAAAGAACACTGATGACAGCTATCACAAGCACAGAAGCCGCTTGGTATATTTTACGATTATACAGGGTGTTTCTGTAAGTCGTGGCATCAATTTAACCTCAAATACTAGAGTCAAAATGATGATTCTTGTAAAAATTTTTGAAGAAAATAATCTAGAGTTTGATTTTGCACTTTTAAACTGGATTTATTTTATATAGAATTTAAATCTAACTAGTTTCGGCTCTTGGCCATCTTCAGAGACTCTACAAATACATTAACAACTCTCATCTTATCCATTTTACAAACAAGTTTTTTAATGTTTCTTTTTCTTTTCTTAAAAAAGATCACATATCAAAGTCGAAATCGGATTATTAGTAACTAATTTACAAAAATAAAGTTTAAAAAGTTGTAAAATGAAAGCATAGCAGTACTAATTAATCTAGCTATTAATACTATTAACCTAGCTACTATGCGTCAAAAGTTGTAATACATTTTCCGAAGGTACTAAAACGTTAAAAAATAACGAAAATAATTTTCTTACTTTTCAAGTAAAAGTTATGTGAAATTATGCTGTCTACCCAACTGAAGAAAAAAAAATTATAGATTTAAAAAACTAGCGATATTAGTACTCACTTCCGGTATAACCGAAAGCACGAAGAGAATGATTTCATGTCGTAAAAAACCGTTTTAACGGCATAACTATGCATTTCAACTGGTTTTCTTATATCACTAATAATAAAAAAGAAATATGGGGGTGAGCCACTTCTGAGGGACACCCAGTATATATATGTAAGTAGATAACTAACTTCAGGTTTAAAATGTCAACCTCAATTTTGACATATTTGTAATCTTCATTAAAAATCCTTTAAAATGAGTACAAACACGACATATTTATCTTCAATATTAATGAAGTTANTCCCTCGATTGTGTTCCCGTTCCAAGGTGAACGATTAACGCGCCTCTGTGGATAACTCGCGCATTTATCGCTCTTTAAGGTGTTAAATAATAAACTGTTTCAGAAAAGAAACTACATATATTTGGATATGAGATGATGATATTTATGCATCACTTGACTAAGCGACAAATGAACAATGTTGAGAAAACGGGATTTTCGTTTTCAGACTTCTCAGAATAGACAGGCTCAAACTATTGAAAATTGTTTGGTGCCTGTCTATTTTTATCACAGAACACTGTGATAGTTGAGTTTTCTTTTATTTGTTTCTGATGTTTTGAGGACATGCACGCGTCAACCCAAGTTAAAAGGTCCATACTACATGACGCTGGACGAGGCAGAACCAGAAAGGTGCTGAAAAGTAAACGGTTCATAACTAAAGTTATGTTTATGGCTGCAGTGGCCAGATCACGCTATGACAGTGCTAAAAAACAGTATTTCAACGGCAAAATACTACTCTGGTCTTTTGTTTATAAAGAACCTGCAAAAAGAAACAGCAAGAACCGGGTAAAAGGAACAATGGTGACCAAAAACATCTAGTCTATTAACGTAGCAGAATGCAGAAAGATGATTATCGATAACGTTGTACCAGCCATTAGATCAAGTTGATTGATTCCAAATTGATGATAATGGATCAAGATAACATAATTCATAAGCAATACCACCATAGTTATCTCAACTTCTTATGCATAAGCCAGAAAATCCCACAATATCAAAATTGACAATCATCTGCGTTAACTTCTGTTATAAGTAAAAAATTAAAGTTGATAGAGAAAAACGTTTCTCATAAAGATAAATGATAACGAATCAAAATAACATAATTCATAACCAATGGTATTATAGATATCACTATTTCTTAGGTTCAAGCCAGAAATTCTCAAAATAACAAAATTGACAATCATCTGCGTTAACTTAAAAAAATATTAAGAAACTTGGGAAAAATTCAAGAATCATCATGTGACTTTAAAATCGCCATTTTTTTTAATCAATGTGAAATAACATCTCAACCTCAATTTTGACATATTTGTAATCTTCATTAAAAATCCTTTAAAATGAGTACAAACACGACATATTTATCTCTAATATTAATGAAGTTATGGTCAACTTCCGGTTAAGAATGTCAACGCCAATTTTGACATATTTGTAATTGTCGTGAAAAATCCTTTAAAATGAGTCCAAACATGATACGTTTAATTCCAATATTACTCGAGATATAAGCAACTTCCGGTTTGAAATGTCAATGTCATTTTGACATATTCTTAATTTTTATAAAATGTCTTAATGTTTGTCATAAAAACAAAAATATAAAAAAAAAAAATCAAAAATTAAGGTTGGTATTAATATTTAAAAATTAAATTGCTATCTTCATTGTTGCTAACTTCGGGTTTAATGTTTTTTATTCTAACTTTTTTGTTTTTTGAGATAAGTGCGTCTTGTTTGGACTCATTTTAAAGGTTTTTTTAATAAAGAATACATCATGAAAGAACACCATGAAGTTGTCCATTTGTCTATTATATGATAACTAACTTCAGGTTTAAAATGTCAACCTCAATTTTGACATATTTGTAATCTTCATTAAAAATCCTTTAAAATGAGTACAAACACGACATATTTATCTTCAATATTAATGAAGTTATGGTCAACTTCCGGTTAATAATGTCAACGTCAATTTTGACACATTTGTAATCGTTGTGAAAAATCCTTTAAAACGAGTCCAAACATGATACGTTTAATTCCAATATTACTCGAGATATAAGCAACTTCCGGTTTGAAATGTCAATGTCATTTTGACATTAATTTTTATAAAATGTCTTAATATTTGTCACAAAAACAAAAATTAATAAAAAAAAAATTAAGAATTAAGGTTGGTATTAACATTTAAAAATTAAATTGCTATCTTCATTGTTGCTAACTTCAGGATTAATGTTTTTTAATCTAACTTTTTTGTTTTTTGAGATAAAAGCATCATGTTTGCACTCATTTTAAATGTTTTTTTAATAAAGAATATATCATGAAAGAACACCATGAAGTTATCCATTTGTTTATTATATAATAATTAACTTCAGATTTGAAATGTCAACCTCAGTTTTGACATATTTGTAATCTTCATTAAAAATCCTTTAAAATGAGTACAAACATGACATATTTATCGTCAATATTAATGAAGTTATGGTCAACTTCCGGTTAATAATGTCAACGTCAATTTTGACACATTTGTAATCGTTGTGAAAAATCCTTTAAAACGAGTCCAAACATGATACGTTTAATTCCAATGTTATTCGAGATATAAGCAACTTCCGGTTTGAAATGTCAACGTCATATTGACATATTCTTAATTTTTATAAAATGTCTTAATATTTGTCACAAAAATAAAAATACAATAAAAAAAATAAAAAATTAAGGTTGGTATTAACATTTAAAAATTAAATTGGTATCTTCATTGTTGCTAACTTCAGGATTAATGTTTTTTAAACTAACTTCTTTGTTTTTTGAGATAAATGCATCATGTTTGCACTCATTTTAAATGTTTTTTTAATAAAGAATATATCACGAAATTACACCATGAAGTTGTCCATTTGTTTATTATATAATAATTAACTTCAGATTTGAAATGTCAACCTCAGTTTTGACATATTTGTAATCTTCATTAAAAATCCTTTAAAATGAGTACAAACATGACATATTTATCTTCAATATTAATGAAGTTATGGTCAACTTCCGGTTAATAATGTCAACGTCAATTTTGACACATTTGTAATCGTTGTGAAAAATCCTTTAAAACGAGTCCAAACATGATACGTTTAATTCCAATATTACTCGAGATATAAGCAACTTCCGGTTTGAAATGTCAATGTCATTTTGACATATTCTTAATTTTTATAAAATGTCTTAATATTTGTCACAAAAACAAAAATATAATAAAAAAAAATAAAAAATTAAGGTTGGTATTAATATTTAAAAATTAAATTGCTATCTTCATTGTTGCTAACTTCGGGTTTAATGTTTTTTATTCTAACTTTTTTGTTTTTTGAGATAAGTGCGTCATCTTTGGACTCATTTTAAAGGTTTTTTAATGAAGATGACAAATATGTCAAAATTGACGTTGACGTTTCAAACCGGAAGTGATTGTATTTCCATTAATATTAAAGCTAAATATGTCGAGTTTGGACTCATTTTAAAGGATTTTTAATGAAGATTACAAATATGTCAAAATTGAGGTTGACATTTTAAACCTGAAGTTAGTTATCATATAACAGAGATCTTTTCCGCACTTTCTTTTTATTTTTAACGTGTTTTTTGGGTCATTTTACAAAGAGGGTGCTTAAATTGTAACCTGTAAAGTTGTAACACTTCGTCCTTAATTTGATTTTACAACTTTTTAAACTTTAATTTTGTAAATTAGTAACTAATAATCTGATTTCGACTTTGATATGTGAACTTTTTTAACGAAACAAAAAGAAATATTAAGAATCTTGTTTGTAATATGGATAAGATGAGAGATGTTAATCTATTTGTAGAGTCTCTGAAGATGGCCTAGGGTCGAAACTAGTTAGACTTAAATTCTATACAAATATTTATCTATTTTTTCCATAGTAGAATTTCTTGGTGTATCTAAGTGTCGTATCTGAATCGCTTTTTAGACGTATGATGCAAATCGGACTTTAAATCGTATGATGTGATTGTCGCTTAGCTTTATCCTTTAAATAAAATAGTATTTTAGGCCTTTCGGTATTCTGCATTTTGTCTAACAATAAGACAAATTTCGACTCAACTTTAAACAATGGAAAGGAAATAAATCAGAAACAAACTCAATTGTTAAACTTAATCTTCGTTTAATCGTTTCAAAATTTATACACAAAAATACAGAAGTGTGATTTACACGAAAAATTAAAAAAAGAAAAATGTAAAATGGGGAGGGGAGATTCACGCCGAAACCAACGGAATGTGACGGTTTTTGACACTTCGCCGGATGGACGTGGAGACACGGAAAACACCGAAAAGCGCGGACTGAAAAAAATTAAAAAACGAAACAAAAAGTTCCTCGAATAAATTAACAACCGTCTGTACATAAACGTCCGTGATATCACAATTCAAAAACTGTCAGCACTATCGATAACATATACTCTTCTTCGTTCCGAAATTTTTTCGAAATTATTTTTAAGTCTCATTTTGCACACCACCACTACGTTTCATCTTCTTAAATATCTTCTTAAATATTTATTTTACACGTGTATAGTGTCCTCATCGTCACTTGGCGTCCTTCTTCCTCCCGATCCGGGAGAACCCGGATCGAGTGGTGTGTCCGGGCTTGGAGATCGTGGTGCTGTTGATTCCGTCGTTTGACCACCACCATAATAATTCGATAAATTGGTCAATGAACTGCTTGCTGCTAAACTGTTTAGGTGAGCACTAGGTCCTGGGATACCCAATCCCATTCCCGGGGGATATAATCGATAAGGTAACGGTTTCTGGAGCGTTACAGCAGCCGCAGCCGCCGCCTGTCTGTAATATAAATCAGCTGCACTCGGGGCTGCGCTTGGTCCTGATTGAGGAGGATACCAACAACCGTAAGGTGGTGCTCCGTATAATCGTTGAAAAGCTGCATAATTTCCAGCTTCGGCTAATAATTCTAATCCGACAGCCGTTTGTCGTTTCCATTTAGTTCTGAAACAAACAAAAAATAAATAAATTAATAAGTTATAAAATTTCTTTTATAATCTTTCATTTATTTTCGTGTGGGGTTGTTTTTGCCTGAGATCGTTTAACTCGAACTAAGTGCTCCGGTGCTTTTTAAAAGTGCTGAGTGTAGCTTAGGCGCCGACAACAGATTAACTTTAGCGCCACGTCGGGGGCCCCCTTTTTCTTAAATTACACCAGAGTGAAACGCCTCGCTGTGGGAATCGTTTAAGACGATGAGCAATCTAAAAATTTTATTTTCTCGCATCTTTATATTTATTACTAATAACATTCGCACAGTGTAATAACAAAATTTAGATTAATTTATAATTAAATATAATGTTTTGACAAAACAACTTAATCGAGGCAGCGCCTCGCTCGCAAATGACCTTGGTTTTAATACTATACCCGGCGAAAAAGTGCATCACGAAGCATTGAACTCAAATTATACCGAGAAATTATAACAACAATAATTGTCGTATATCAAAAAGCTTTGAATTCAAATTATAGAAGAGGTCGCTTGCGGCCGAGGCAGTAGTGTCATGATTTTTGACAACACAACTTGATCAAGGAAATATCTTGCTCATAAGCACCTTCGGCTTCATTACTATAATCGGTACATAAATGCATCATGAAATTACGAATACAAATGATTGATATACAAAGCGAAGCTTTGAATTCAAATTATAGCCGAGGTCGCTTGCGGCCGAGGCAATTCTTGACAACCCATCTTGATCAAGAAAGCCCCTTGGCAGCAAGCAACCTCACATTGAACCTTTAAAGTGAATCTAAATTTGACGCATTTATCTCATAAAACCAAAAGTTCGAACTTTCAACTTTTAATTGTGACATATTTGTCAACTTCATAAAAAATCCTTTAAAATGAGTCCAAACTCAACATATTTAGCTTTAATATTTATGGAAATACAATCACTTCCGGTTTGAAACGTCAACGTCAATTTTGACATATTTGTCATCTTCATCAAAAAACCTTTAAAATGAGTCCAAACATGATGCATTTATCTCTAAAAACAAAAAAGTTAAAATAAAAAACATTAAACCTGAAGATAGCAACTTAATTTTTAAATATTAATACCAACCTTAATTTTTATTTTTTTTTTANCTTATTTATTGTAGTTTCTCTCATATTCGTAAATTTATCAAAACATGCAGAAAATGCATAATTCAGAAAACATGCAGAAAACAGTAATTCAATTTTTGACCACCCTGTATAAGATACTCCGATACAATAAATGGCAATCTATTTGACAACATCTGAAGAGTAATCGTACCAAAGTAGATCTTTTTTGAATGAACTTTGGCTGAGATATGGAGTTTTAAAGAGCATGTTGAAATTTACCAAAAAAAGTTTAAAACCAAAATAACTCAAAAATAAAAAACCTAGGTACCAATAACTTTTATTAAAGTCAACCTATTTTGTACGTACAATTAAACTGTGTAATAAAAACTATAGCATTCCATTTAAAATAGCGAAGTTATGGTCTATTTCCGGTAGACCGGAAGTGGCGGCCATCTTGAAAACATTTTAGATCGAAAGTTCCGAATGAACAACCAATGCTACCAAAATTTCAAATCTCTACGAATAGTGGAAGATGAAAAAGTTCTAACGAACCAGTTACGTGAGACACCTGTATACTATAATATACAGGGTGTATCTGAATGACTGCAACAAACTTCAAGGGGTGATTCTTTAGTGAATTTTAAGGGTACTTTGATATATGAACCATGGGCGACTTCGGCTCCCCTAAGGAGCTACACGCCTCCAAAAATGGCGGAAAATTTTGGTTTAATTTGTTTTTCTCAAAAATCAAAAACGCTAGGAAAATGAAATTTGGGGAATATGTTTAACTCATAATAGGGCATGTTTTGGCCCTACTTATACTTTTAACCTACCCTTCTAAACTACTAAACGTAACCACCCCCTTCACATTTTTGCTAATATTTTTTTTATGCAGATGATAAATACATTAAAAAAAATTTATCTAGGTAGATGAAAGTATCCTAAAACTTTTTTGTCTCTCTAAAATTTTTCCAAAAACGACTAATTTTTGAGAAAAAAAATAATAAAGCAAACACTGCACGTTAAACAACGGGGTTGTCGATCAAAAGTTGGAATGAATTTATAATGAAAAAATCTTAGTAGGCCTTGTAATCCTTGTCAGAAATATTTTTGACGTTTAAATGTCAGTGTTTTTCTTACTATTACTATTTTTTCAAATTAATTTTTAAATAAAGTTCTATCGCATTTACGCTCGTTCACTCGACGTTTCAAAATTTTAAATAAAACAAAACTAAAACAAAAATAAAATTTCAAAACTGTACAAATAATGGACCCCTTGGACAAGTTACGTGAGACACCCTGTATACACTGTGTACACAAAGTATGAAATCAATTCGATAAAAATTTGTAGGAGATACTTCCAAAAAAAATTCTTGAATATCTATGTTATATTTACCATATGTATAGATACCATATGTTGACATTTTAAAACAGGAACCCCCATTTTTTTGTTGTATTTATGGATTCTACGTAAATTCTGAGTATTTTTCTTGTAGGTGTCTTCGAAAAAATAGCAGTTAAAAAATACTGTTACTGTTTTATTTGCAATAACAGAGTAAACTACGCTATTTTCTGTTTCTGTGTTAATTTGTGACAAATGTTTAATAATGTAAATGATGTTATAATTGGGTCTGAAGATATTAATAGTCTGTTTAAAATGTCTCTATTAGTGTGTATTCTAAGGTCCAGTAGGTCCAGTAGTGTCATGATTTTTGACAATACAACTTGATCAAGGAAATATCTCGCTTGTAAGCACCTTCGGCTTCATTACTATAATCGGTGTAGAAATGCATCATGAAATTATGAATACAAATAATTGATATACAAAGCAAAGCTTTGAACTCAAATTATAGCCGAGGTCGCTTGCGGCCGAGGCAATTCTTGACAACCCAACTTGATCAAGAAAGCTCCTTGGCAGCAAGCAACCTCACCTTCATTACAATAATCGAAATTATCGTACAAATAATTGTCCCACATTGCAAAGCTTTGCATTTAAATTAAAGCCGAGGTCGCTTGCGACCGAGGCAGTAGTGTCATGATTTTTAACAACACAACTTGATCAAGGAAATATCTCGTTCATAAGCATCTGCGGCTTCATTACTATAATCGGTGTAGAAATGCATCATGAATACAAATAATTGATATACAAAGCGAAGCTTTGAACTCAAATTATAGCCGAGGTCGCTTGCGGCCGAGGCAGTGGAGTCTTGATTCTTGACAACACAATTTGATCAAGAAAGGGCCTTTTCCGCAAGCAACCTCGGCTTCATTACTATAATCGATAAAGAAGGGCAGCACGAAACTATCATACAAATAATTGGACCGGTTGTCAATATACCGATAAATCTACCTGATATCTATCCGGCTGATAAACTTATCAGAAGGATAAAGATATTCGCTGTTGTACAAACTATTTTTGTCGGCAGGATTGCTATCGGCGAAATAAGAGTCGGTAGGTAGTAGTTTTTCCCATATCTAGTGATTTATGCCGTAGAATGGTAACGCTAACGTCTTTCTTTGAAGTTTGAATTATGATTTTGACAATAATAATTGTTTAAAAAAATTTTCACGAGTCATCGTACATATAGGGTTTAATGTTATAGGTTAACCTATGGAGTAATCATACAAAGTTTTTATATAAAAACCTTGGTAGATAATAAATATCTGGCGGATAAGTGTCTTATCGGCACCGCTGAGTACCCGATAAGTTATCCTGCAGATAATCTCACCGACAAAAATATCCGTACATTGTAATACAGTACAAACTAACTTATCTGCCAGATAACGCTGTCGGGAAGTTTATCGCTATATTGTACAACCGGCCCTTAATTCATTTTAAAGTTTCCACCGAGTCATCATCAAAACTGCATCTAATGAGTCTTCTATAAGTTTCCTATATGTATAGTTGCACCAAGTTGCACATACTTACCAATCTTCACAAGGAACTTGTATGTAAAATCTTCCGGAAGTTCCACTAATTTCACATCATGAATGTTTTATTTTGGCAAACATAATTAAAATAAAAATAATCGTTCTTTCTTTCTATATCGCGTAAATCAGGTCTCGAGACGCTATCGAGTTCCGACTCGTTTAGTAGATGACCGTTAAATTTTAGCTGTATNCATATTTAACTTTAATATTAATGGAAATACAATCACTTCCGGTTTGAAACGTCAACGTCAATTTTGACATATTTGTCATCTTCATCAAAAAACCTTTAAAATGAGTCCAAACATGATGCATTTATCTCAAAAAATAAAAAAGTTAGAAGAAAAACATTAAACCCGAAGTTAGCAACAATGAAGATAGCAATTTAATTTTTAAGTATTAATACCAACCTTAATTTTTTATTTTTTTTTATTATATTTTTGTTTTTGTGACAAATATTAAAACATTTTATAAAAATTAATATGTCAAAATGATATTGACATTTCAAACCGGAAGTTGCTAATATCTCGAGTAATATTGAAATTAGACGTATCATGTTTGGACTCATTTTAAAGGATTTTTCACGACGATTACAAATATGTCAAAATTGACGTTGACATTCTTAACCGGAAGTTGACCATAACTTCGTTAATATTGAAGATAAGTATGTCGTATTTGTACTCATTTTAAACGATTTTTAATGAAGATTACAAATATGTCAAAATTGAGGTTGACATTTTAAACCTGAAGTTAGTTATCATATAAAAGAAGTTTTATAAGTGAAGTTAATTTAGTGTTAGTCACTTTTTCGCACTTTCTTTTTATTTTTAACGTGTTTTTTGGTTCATTTCACATTGATTAAAAAAAAAAACGTTGATTTTTCAGCCACATGATGATTCTTGAATTTTTCCCAAGTTTGAAAAACTTAAGCTCACCTCAAAATGTAAAAAAAAGAAATTGTAAGTAAAGCAGTAAAGCA